GTGAGCAAGCTACAAAACAGGGCTGAATTTCTAGAGAGTGAAGATGTGTTGTTTCGCGGCTTCTGTAGATCACCCTACTTGCTTGCTTTTTGCTGCCACCAGCTGTCTGCAAGTGCGTGGGCCCATCAAGCAGGAGCTGCAGGTTCAACTCCAGGTCTGTGACTCAGGATATTAGAAAAGTAACCCAATTTTAATCACTCTAAACTTGAATGAAGGTGCTCTGGTGGTGAAATGGTTAAGCACTCAGCTGCTAACCGAAAGGTTGAGGTTGGCGAGTTGAACCCACCCAGCAGCTCTGCGGGAGAAAGATCTGGCCATCGGCTTCTGTAAACATTACCGCCAAGAACACCCGATGGGGCAGTTCTACTCTGTAACACATGGGGTCACTGTGAGTTGGAATTGGCTTGACAGCACCCAACAACAAACAAACTTGAATGAAGTGTTCACAATATTTCAGCCCATTTTTCAATTAGGACAGAGTGAGTTGATGAAAATAGGCCAACTTTGTCTGTATTGTAAACACATTTTTAAATTTTTGTCCCCCAACCCACCCCAAGAAAAAGAAAAGAAAGAAAATAAACAAACAAAAAGATACTTGACATGAATTTATTTTAAAAAATTCTCCCATGTGGACAGTATCAGAGGGAGATACCAAAACCAAACCAAACCCATGGCCATCGAGTCGATTTTGACTCGTAATGACCCTATAGGACAGAGTAGAACTGCCCCATAGGGTTTCCAAGGAGCGGCTGTTGGATCTGTTGGTTAGCAGCCGAGCTTTTAACAACTGTGTCACCAGGGCTCCTGAGGGAGATATGAGTTCTGATTTTGCATTGTATATGGCAGAAGTAATTCCTTATAGAAACACAATATGGTGTTTTGTAACATTTGAGATGGCAGGTTGTTTGCTTGAAAGCCACAGCAGGAGTTGCTGCTTTGGGGATAGTAAGCATAATGGTTAGGAGCATGGGATCTGGAGCTGGCTGCTTGGGTTCAGATCTCAGCTCCACCGTTTGCTTGCTCATTGACCTTGAACAAATTTCTTAACCTCCCTGTGCTTTAGTTTTCTAAGCTGTAAAATGGAGGTAATAATAGTACTTATACTATAGGGTAGCTATGAGCCGGAATCGACTCGACGGCAACAAGTTTGCCATAGGGACATTGTGAGGATAAATAAATTAATACACATAAACCCCTTAGAATAGTGTCTGACGCATAACAACATTATGTAAGTTATAGAAACTTATATAATTCTTTTTTTCCAGTTTACTCTTTGGAAAATCAAAAAGCACTATTTATATAGACACCCAATTTGAACACAATCATTTTTTTCAGA